CTACTGCAGGAAATCTTCAAGCCCTATCTTGTCAGAAGAAAGACTCAGAGCAGCATCCAGGTTCGGGTAACCCAGGGACCCCATTCTAGGCAGGAGTAAGGGCTGGACCATCACCAAATATGTGACAACCCAGGGGCTCAATCTGAAGCAGGAGATAGGGTCAGCCCCATTGCCTATTGTGGTGATACTGAGGGACCCTAGTACTATCCAAGTCAGGACATAGGGCTAGACCAGGACAGAAGTACAACCCCATCCTAATCTGAGGCAGGAGACAGGAGCAACACCCAGTGTTGGTGATCCAAGGGCCCATTTATGTCAGGAAACAGGACCAGATCAACATCCAGGGAGCCACACCTGACTCAGCATCCATATAGCTCATGCCTAACCAACATCCAGGACTGGGCTCAAGCCACAACAGGAGACAAAGCCAGACCTTCCTCTAGTAGGTGGAGCTTAGTCTTTACTGCTGACCTCAGGATGAAGTAGGGCCCCATCCAGTACTATGGGAGTATAGTTTGATCCAAGAACAAGCCCGTGATGCTAGATATGAATTAATGGAAGAAAATGGAAACACAGTGAAGAGATACCTTGGACTAAGAGTAGCACAAAAAGTAAACCCAGAGGAAGAAAGTAACTCCTTCACAAGTTCAAGCAGAGCCTGGGGAAAATAATGTCCTAGAGACATGGGCTACAAGAGTTCCTGGGAGAGACAAAATGAGATACAAAATGGAAGAGCTAGGGAAGAAAACCAGCAAGGAGAATTAACATCTTAGGACAGATATAATAAACCTTACTCAAGAATTGAACTTCCGGAAAGCTAAAATAATCCAAACAGAAAATAATGACTCAGTGAGACAACTGAAAGTATTTAAAGCAAAATCAAAATATTAGAAAAACCTAGAAGAAAATAAAAAGTATGTATTATTAAAAAAAAAAACCAACAACTAACCTGGAAAACAGGTCAAGGAGAGATAATCTAAGAATCATCAGAGTACCTGAACATCAACTCCTCCGCTTTAAAAAAAATTCTCCTATACTATATTTCAAGAAGTCATAAATTAAAACTGCTAAGATCTCTTAGAACCAGATGAAAAGTAAAAATAAAAAGAATCCATTGGTCGTGTCATGAAAGAAGCTCAAAATGAAAATTCCCAGGAACATTGTAGTCAAATTGTAGATACTACCAACAGTCGAAATAGAAGTGTTCAGGTACCAAGGAGCTCCAGTCAGATCATACGAGATTTGGTACCTGCCACTATAAAAAAGGAGAGCTTGGTATAGAATACATCAAAAGGCAAAATATATAGGATCATAAACAAAAACAACCTATTCAGAAAAACTGAGTATAATCCTATAGGGGAAAAATGGATCTTTAGTGAAATAGAGAACTTCTAAATATTCCTGATCAGAGAGTCAAGACTAAGTAGATACTTTGAAATGGACACACAGAAGACAAGAGAAACAAACCAAAAAAAAGGTACAATTATCCCTTCCACATTGAGGGAGTTAAGGGTTTGGTGCCCCTAGAAAATCTACGTAAAATATTTTGGGCCTCTCTTCATACCGGAGAAGTCTGAATTTTTTCTTTTTCTTTTATGGGGTGTTTACAGTATCTTATTGTAAAATTTGGGTGAAGTATTTGGTCATAAGCTCTGTGTCATCTGCTGGCCTTTGTGTGTAGTCTGTGGCTTCTGCAAAACTCCTCCCAAAATCCCATTTAATTTCTTATGCTGACCCATGATATATCAAAATTGCAATGTGGGAAGTCACGATGTGGAAGGGATAACTGTATATACATTTGACCAATTGGAAAAATAGTGAAAAGAGGGAGACCATTTAGAGAAGTTTGGTGAAGAAGATGAAAGACCTTTATATCGTATCATGTGAGAAATGGTTGAAGGAATTTGGGGTGTTTAAGCTGGAGAATAGAAGATTAGGAGGGAAATGGAAATATCTTCCAATATCTGAAAGACTATTACATAGAAGAGAGATTAGGCTTGTTCTGCTTGGCAATAAAAGATATAAGAATCATGTATGGAAGTTGCAGAGAGGAAAATTCTGCATTGATGTAAGGGAAAACTTCCTGAAAGTTGGAGCTATTCAGAAGTGGAATGAGCTGTGTCTGTCACTGAAGATCTGCAACCAGTGAGTTAATCAACAAGCATTCATTAAGTGCATACTATGTATGAAACATGTTACTAAGCATGAGGGATACAAAAAAAGTAAACTTTCCCTGTCCTCAAGAAGCTTATACTCTAATGATAGAGACAACATGTAAATAGCTACATATAAGATATATACAGTGTAAACAGAAGGTAATCTCAGAGGAGAGAACTTGTGATGACTGGAGATACCCCAGAACTGAAGATCAGAACAGGCTCTTGCGGAAGGTAGTATTTGAGCTAAGTCTTGAAGAAAGCCAGGGAAACAAAATTTGGATGATCACAAAAGTATAAGGTATATTGTAGAGCAATTCTTAGGCATGAGTTAACAAAATGGCCTCTGCAGTTATTTCAGTTCTAAGATTTTGCTACTCTATATTTCAAAAGAATTAAGTTTCCTCACGTAGCCTTCTAACCAAACCCAAAGGTCATTTTGCAATCTCCTTTGTGCAGTGTTTATGCACTCTTGGCCACCCCCTACTTACAGAATATCTCTCTTCTCTTGGTTTCTGTATTATCTAGGCCTTCTCCTTCTTACTTTCCTGATTGTTTCTCTTTTTAGTTCACTGTGGTACCATGGAGAAAACACTGATTCTGGAGTCAGAGATCCTTAATTCGTGTCCCTATACTACCTGTATGATATTGAGCAAATCAATTAACATTTCTGGGGCTCAGATTCTTCATTTGTAGATTGAAGAGGTTGGTCTTGATAACCTGTTAGGGCTCTCTTAGCTTTAAGTCTACAATCTTTTGCTGACCATTCTTCTTAACATTTAACTATGAGCATTTCCCAAGACTAACTTTGTCCTCATCCCTATCCTTTTTTCTTGATTCATCTACCCACTCAGAGAGTTGATTTACTCTCATTGAATTAGCTATCACATCTATATAGATGACTCTCAAATCTATATTTTGGAGCCTGAAACATGTTCTTTTAATTTCCTCAGTGCCATGGTGGCTGATTTAATTGCCGCATCTAAGCTGAAACCCATTCTCATGACCTCATAGTGGCAAGAGGTATAACAAATGATGAAAAATAAAGCAAGGATTCCCCGAACCACACTTTGAGAACTACTGCTTTAGAGATTGCGATATTCCAAGATTGATAGCCATACAGCATTACCAGGAAAACATTTATGTTGCAAAAATAGATTTTAACAATAGAGATTATTAGAGATTTTTAAGTTATTACGGTTATTAGAGATTTTTAAGAGCACCTTGCACTTTCTTAGTTTTAATTCACTCTACCCTCTTCTTTCAGATCACTTATGGGCCTAGTTGTAAACTATTTAATATTTTAGTACCTGCTCCAAATATATATGCTATTGGATTAACTCAGAAGACTGACCATCAGACATATAATCTGGACAACAGTCATGTGCATCCATTTGATTTTTCCTACATGGATTGTTAGATTGTTCTCCTTAAAAATCATGTATCTTATTGAAGAAGTCCTATGATATTAGCAGGTATTATGTCTGCTATTATGCAGACACATGCTATTATATAGCACACATAGTGTTACAATGCATTATGTGTTCAGTACATCTAGAGGATATATTTGGACCTTATGTAGCACATCCTCCAGACCATTAGCAAACACCTTTGGAGAGCATAAATCTCCTATTTTAATGCTTAACTTGATGTTATTACCAGGGCTTTGGCTGTTGGTGGATTGGTTGATGGTTGGCATAGGCATTTATTAAGTTTCTGCTGTGTACAAAGTCGTTGCACTAGATATTGGGGACAAAAAGACAGAATAGTCACTCTGTAATTGAACTTTCAAGAAATCTCATATGATCCTAACATGTAACTGTGGGAGAAGAGCAGAGTTAAATAAAAAAAACTATAGAACTGGAATAACTCTTGAGATCTCTCCAAACTAAAGCAATGGACTCTGAAGACAACTTGATGAGGCAATGTCATAGTTATTGGTCTTGTCGAAAAACACTTTTAATGGCACACAATAGACACCTAATAAACATTTATATACCATAATTTTTATTTAGTCATTTCCCAGTTAGTGTGTACTTCCATTGTTTCTATAAAAAAAACTGCAAAGATGTATTTGTATTTATGAGTCTTTTTTCCTTTATCCTCAATCACTTTGGTATACAGACTTTTAATATCTCTGGGTCAAAGGGTATGAACAATTTCATGACTTTTAGAGTATAGTTCCTGGCTTGCCTCTGGTGCATGTGTTAAAAGACTTCTGTGCTCTGTTACGGACTTCCAGGCTGGGCTTTTTTGGCTAAACATCTTTTATAGTATATATAGGCTAACCAAATGTATTTACTGTGTTTCTTGATCATTTTTCATTCTAATTTTCTATTTTTATTCTTGATAGACTTGTGAGAGAGTTGGGATGTTCTATTTCCTCTTAGTCTGCCATCTTGAGGAGAATGTACAACATGCAGGAGTACCCACTGCATGGAGAGCTCTATAATAGGGGGAGATCCAAAATGTAGATAAGGCATTATTCCTGCCCTCAAGGGTCTTATACTTTTGTAGGGGGACTATCACAGATAGCCATAATACTTAGCACAATTCCCAAAGGAATGTTCCAAAAATATTTTAATTATGTTGGCAATATTAGAGCATTTATATCCCAAGATGAAACTTTGAAAGATTATTTGAATATATAAGTTTGTATTTTAAAAATAATCTCATTATTTGTTGCCTCCTCGGTTAGATGACAAGTGCCTTGAGAGTAGGAATTTTGCCTTGAATTTCTTTCTCTTCAATAAATGAGTTCCTTATCTTGAGTCGTTTGAGAAACACAGTGAATTTTTATATATTTAGTTGATGCTCAACTGAGTCTGTGCCTTTGTCTTTCAGATTCATCTCTCACTTTGCCACAGATGATGGGTGTCGGATTGGGATCTGTAGCTGCTGTGGTCATCTTAGTGCTTCTCTCTTTCTTAGTGGTGTGGTATGTATGAGAAACAGGTTGGAACTGAACATATAAACATTTGATGTAGTAGATTTTGTTACTAAGTTTTCTGTTAATAAGTGGAGAGTTATCGTATGGGAAGTAACTCAACAAATGCTTACGATGTGCTAGGCACTGTGCTAAATTCTGGGGATATCAAGAAAGGTAAAAGCCAATCCTTAGTCTCAAGGAGCTCACAGTCTAATGGGAAGTTTTTCCAAGAAAATTAAGGAGGGATTGGAACAGAGTCCATTTAATAGAAATAAAGGGTGGGACCAAACCATGACCAATGGCAAAAAAAAAATTATTTAACATCATATACCCAACAATCTTATCAGTATAATTTGCTTGATAGTCTTCAAACATGTCTGGCTCACACCCTTCTCTGCTCTTGGAATGCCTTCTCCTACTATCTCCCTTTAAGGAAATAGTACCCACCTTTCAAAGTTTACCTAAGTCTCCATCTCTTCCATGTAATTTTCCTGGATTGCCAGCCAGAAGAAATCATTAATTCCTTTGAACTCAGGTAAAGCATTTGTTTGTTCCCATCCTGTACTTTCACACTATTCTGTATGATAGGTATTTTTCTCACATTATTATATTGGAAGCCCCCTGGGGCAGCTAGGTGATTCAATGGATAGGATACTGAGCCTTAGTCAGGAAGATCTGAGTTCAAATCCAGCCTTGGACATTTACTAGCCATGTGACCCTAGGCAAGTCTGCCTTGTAAAATGGGGAAGATAATAATAGCATTTGCCTTGCAGGGTTGTGGTGAGAATCAAATAAGATAATATTTGTAAAGTGCTTAATACAGTGTCTGGCACATAGTAGATGCTTAATAAATGCCTATCCCCTTCTATTCCCCCTGAGAAATACTGTGGCCTACTGAACTTTTTATCCCCCCATGCCTAGCATATTGTATTACACATAGTGGGTACTTGGTAAAAGCTCGTTGAATTGACCTTTTGTCAGAAAGAATGGAAAGTGTATGTGACGGAGGAAGAGAGCAGTGATGGCCTTTCACAGTCCTGATAATCCAGTCCAAGCTAATATGCATTTATTAAGCACTTGTTGTGTGCAAGGTACTATACTAGGCAATGATAATATGAAAACAAAATGCAAAAATAGTTCCTGCCTTAAGGAGCTTACATTCTACTAGTGGAGGGATACATTGTGTAAATGGATAAGTATATATGTGAATATTTGAGGAAGGAGAGTAGAACAACTAGAGTTATATGAACCATGAAGGAAAACTATAAATAATACAGTTACCACAAAGAATGTGATGCAGTCAATGGGTTGTGAAACCTGGGGCCTACAATGGTCCAGGGTTAATCTCAAAGGGCTTCTTCAAAATAACTGTCCTCATTAACTCTTTAAGCCTACACTCAAAGTTTGTTGTTGTTCATTCATTTTCAGTTGTGTCTGACTCTCTTTGAGCCCTTTTGGGGTTTTCTTGGCAGACTCTGGTGGAATAGTTTCCCATTTCCTTCTCCAGCTCATTTTACAGATGAGGAAACTGAGGCAAACAGGGTTAAGTGACTTGCTCAGGATCATACAGCTAGTAAGTGTCTGTGGCCAGATTTAAACTCAGGAAGATGAGTCTTCCTGACTCCAGGCACAGCTCTCTATCCACTGTGACACCTAGCTGCCTAGCCAAAGTTTGCTCTAGGAAAATCAATGAATATAGCTCATATCTAAGGCTTAGCACAGTGCTTGGAACATAGTAGGTGCTTAGTAAATGTTTGTTGACCTGCTAACATGTCTAGGTCTATACTACACACATGTTCATCATTTTCCTATACGATCCTATATGATCAGGTCCAAGACTGTGTTTATTTCGCCCCACAGAAAATGCAGAAGGTGCAAAGGACTCACAGACAGATACAAAATTAGAGTTATTCTTCCTCTTTTTGGCATATGCATGCATGTAGAGTGAGATAATTACGTTAGGGAAGTAACAGGGAAGGAAAGGTATGTTTCCTCTTCTGCCTTCCTCGTTTTCCTTTACCCCTTGTCTAGAATGTGTAGTTGAACTCTTCCTGGACAAGGTGTTAATAGATTGCAGTGGGTTTGTTGGAGGGACTCTAGTGTACTCCTGGACTACCTTTTGAGTCCTCCAACTTTTCCTTTGAAAAGATTTGCCAGACTTGGCATAAATGTCAGCCCTCAAAACAAAGATTCTTTCCCTTTATGCTTTAAAACCAGGCTAACACATGTGAGTTCATAATATGGTATAATGGAAAGAACAATGTATTTGGCGTCAGACAATCTGATTTGAAATGCTAGTTTTACTAACTAGCCTATGTAACCTTGGCCTTAGCTTCTCTTGGCTTCAGTCTGTTTCTCTGTATAGTGGAAGGGTTAGACTAGATGACTTTCAAAGTCCTCTCTAGCTCTGATTTCCTTTCTCTGAGAGGTTATATGAATTGACACATGGCTAATATAAGAGGTCTGATTTGATCCATGTTCTTCCTGACTCCAGGTCCTATACTGTATCTGTTGTGCCATACTGCCTCTCATAAACTCAGTTTCAAATAAGTTGCATAGTGGATGTAGTACCATGACTTAGATTGCCTTTTGCAGGCCATCTTAGTGATAGGGATTACTTATGACTTCTTTAGTATAGGGAACTTCCAGTTGAGTAAATATTGCCTCAACCAGTGGAGGTGGTACCTTCAGCTGTACCTAGAGTTAGGAAGACTATACCAATTCAGGCATTCACTAGTAGTGTGATCCAGAGCTTAACTGCTTTTAACCTCATGTGTTCATCTTCAAAATGAGGCTAATCATATCATATATCTCACAGTGCAGCTAGGTGGCGAGGTGGATAGAGTACTGGGCCTAGACTCAGAAAGACTTATCTTCCTGATTTCATATCTGGCCTCAGACACTTACTAGCTATGACCCTGGGCAAATCACTTAACCATGTTTGCCTCAGTTTCCTCATCTGTAAGATGAGCTGGAGAAGGAAATGGCAAACCTCTCTAGTATCTCTGCCAGGAAAACCCCAAATGGAGACATGATTGAAAATGATTTAGCAGCAACAACAAACTCACAAGGTTGATGTGAAGCTCAGGTGACATAACATGTGCAAAGTACTTTGCAAAACATTAAAATGTTATATTGGTTATTATTATTTCTTCATCTGTTAACCAAGGGATCTGGACTAGACAACCCACTAAGGTGCCTTTCCAGCTCCAAGTCTATGTCCAATGAGCCTCTTTGGTATGTAGGGAAATATCTACGACAGAAGTTATCACAGATACTTGAGGGATGGAAGGTGCCACAGCCTACCTAAGACAGGACTGACAAATGCCAATGAATGGGGCAGATTAAGGGAGAAGTTGGCAGAGGAGGGCAGTGTCTACTTGAGAGAGAGGAAGTAGATCTGAAGCATGAAGACTGTGAACCAGAAAATAAAGTATTAATGTCTGTGGTCCCTAAATGAAAGGGACTGAGATGAGTGGAAAGACCAGCTGTAAGAACCAGGATTCCATGCTGGAAATTAGGAGCAGATCAGGAACTGAAAATGTAGAGCAGTGGGGAAAGTTAACCACCTGTCTGAATCAATCTAATTCCCAGTGTTTAGTATTTTTCATGTAGCTGCTGGCTTTCCTTCTCCCTGCCTGGCTCTAATGTGCTGATATAGTCATAGATGACTGCCTGACTCAGCCACTCTTGCTTTTGTACACTATCCCTCCCTTTGATGCCTTACTGATACTGGCATGGTGAAAAGCCTGTCAGGGGTGTGTGTGTGTGTGTGTGTCTCTTCTGGGTGTGTGTGTGTGTGTGTGTGTGTGTGCTTGTGTGTGTCTCTCCTGGGTGTGTGTGTGTGTGTGTGTGTGTCCTGTTTTCTAACTTCAGAACAATAACCTTCTAGTCCACTGGGTAAAAAAGGTGACCTTGTCCCCTCCCTGGTGTCGTAAACAATGTTTTGTTTTCTAATCAGTTTGTAATTAAAATAGTGGATGCGGAAATTCAGGGCTAAAATGGGTCTGTCAATTTGATTCAATTCAATAAGCGTATCAGGCACTGAAATGAACAAAGACAAAAATAAGAGATTTTTTTAAAGTGACACAAGAAGGTGAGAGCAGTTCTTTGTTTTATTTTTTCTTTATATCCCTAGTGTGTAGAACAGTGCCTGGTACACAGTAGGTGTTTAATCAATCCCAGTTAACTGACTAATATACTTATTAGAATACTATTATGCTTTAATAGTGATAAAATGATAAAGATGGTTTCAGAAAAATCTGAGAAGGCTTAAATGAGCTGATATAAAGGGAAGTGAGCAGAACCAGGAGAACAATTTATACAATAACAACAGTATTAGAAAGACAAATAACTTTGAAAGAGGAAATTCTGACCAACACAATGACCAACCATAATTCCAGATGACTCATGATGAAACATGCCTCCCGCCTCCTGACAGAGAAAAGATGATATAATATTTTTCTGGATGTGGCCAATATTTTTATTTTTCACTGTCCTGAAGGACCTTTCCATCTACTAGGTGTAGCAAAGACAAGTGAAGCCCATGGGAGACAGACTGAAGAGAAAGCCCCAGGTTGTTCCATTGACTACCTGAACAGGTCTCCCACCCTTTCCACCAGTTTCAGGGAAGACTTGCTCTTCCAGCAGTTGGGGGTGTATACTCAAACCTAGCCCCCCAGCCTAAATGACTCCATAGGAGTGCAGTCAATCTACTTTTGTATCATAGTTTTGCTGTAGGCCAACTTCCCAGCTTTCCTGGGTAGAAAACAACAGTGGGACCTCTAAGCTTATTAGGACTGCATCCTGCAATCATGGCTTCGACTCAGATTTTTTTGACTTGATGTGCAGTGCACTTTCCCTCATATCACACTCCATGTTCCAAGACCAGTGCTTTTAGGGAAATGGGAGGAGGAGACTATACCGTATAAATTGTCACTCCTTTTGGTTGCTAACCTTTGTAACAATGAGCTTGGTCAAATCATTAACCTTTATAAGTGTATCTTAAG